GGGGGGGGGGAGGGATAAGAGGACCCACCAGAGACAGAGTTGGGAACAGAACAGGCAGAACTGGTGAAGAACACTGCTAAGGGGAGCAGTGGGTGGGTCAGAAGTCTGCACTACCAGGGAAGTCATTCAACTCATGCTGAAGGGGCAGGGATTCAATTTATGCTGAAGTGGCTTTAGCTTCTTAGTGCTGTGCTTTAACCAGCTGCTACGCCACCAGGGAAGGCCCCTGGAGTTTCTTTTTAATGGGCTTTGATCTGTTAAACATTTTGGCCATCTCAGGAAAATATTCTAAGAGGAAAATTGACTTACCTGCTACAAGTATTTTCCCTCTTATTGTTCATATTTAGATGTGGAACCCAACCTCAAATTTTTCTGCATTGTGGATCCTTTTGTGTTGAAATGTCATATGATTTCTGTATATTTGGAAGCTGTGTTGGGATAGCCTAAGTGATCCAGCAGGGGCTTTTCCACATAGGCAGCATGTAGAAGAATTGTAGTTTGTGGCTTTGAAGTGACAGTAGCTATGGCTGCGTTTTTAGTGTTTTCAGTTCTGAATTTATAAAAATATGAACAATAAAAGATTTGGAGCTACTTTCATAGTTGGGGTATACCTGTACATTATAAAACAACAGCAGGAACTTCAATTTTGTTGGTTAATCCATATTAGGAGCAAAATGTTGGCAAATTAAAATTTGGTAGTTGCATTGTGGTGACTGGAGATCTTATGATATAAACATTCACACTTCAGTTGTTGAGAATTGTGAAGATGACTTATTAGAAAGTAAACACCTTAATGAATGAACCTGTAACTTGGGGTGGATGAGGGTTGTTTTGGAGGTTGTGGGTAAGGAGTATAGAAGAGTTAGAATTTTAAGTATCACTAAAATAGTAATAAAACTGACCTTCCCTGGTGGTGCAGTGGGTTAAAGCACAGCACTAAGAAGCTAAAGCCATTTCAGCATGAGTTCAGTCCCTGTCCCATCACCAGAGGTGATCCACATGGCATGGCAGACCTCTTCTGACCCACCCACTGCTCCCCTTAGCAGTGTGCTTTGTTGATCTGCCTGTTCTGCTCCCCACTGTCTCTGGTGAACCCCCTCACCTCCCCTGCACCTTTGGCCTGTACCCCAGCTCTGTATGCATAAATAAATCTTTAATAAAATATTAAAAAAAACAGTAATGAAACTAACATGCTAGATAATGCTAAATCACTTTGAACAAGTAAAACCATACTAACTTGTAAAATGTTAATATTAAGCAAGGTACTGGTTATATAATCTCTTAATTTGATCAATTGTCTAGCCACAGTTTCATTAAAAAATGAAATCTATACATGTACCTTTGCTTTGTCCTTAGTTCAAGCAAATGGAGCTATACAAATTCGTGCACCAGAATGTCCATCTCATAGCATTACTTAAAATAAGTAAACTTGGAAAACTCTAAGATTTAACCTTTAGGAATGTGGGTTAAATGTTCAGGAGATAAAACAGTCATTGAAGAATGACATAAATTCACCAATGAATGTTAAATAATATAAATTACATACAGTGTAAATACATAATGTATAATAGATTTTACTTATATGTCTCTAGAGGTAATATAATACATTTAGATGATTAAACTTTACTAATAAAAAATTTTAATTAAGGGAACTAGTAATAGTTTTAACCAGTGCTTCTACATAAGGAACTACATAGTTTTTTTTTTTTTTTTAAGATTCATTTATGCATACAGAACTGGGGTACAGGCCAGAGGTGTCCAGGTGGTGAGAGGATTCACCAGAGAGTGGGGAGCAGAACAGGCAGATCGAAGAAATACACTGCTGAGGGGTGCAGCGTGTGGGTCAGGAGAGGTCTGCCATGCCATGTGGATCATCTCTAGGGCTGGGGACGGAACTCATGCTGAAGTGGCTTTAGGTTCTTAGTGCTGTGCTTTAACCTGCTGCGACACCAGGGAGGGCCTCATAATTTTTTTAAAAACAAGTAAAAACTAACACTTGAGAGTTTCAAAAAAGGATGATTTCTGCTTCAGAAAAAACTTGCAACAAATTTAAAAGAACCAGGTCTTTAATTTTAATTTGGAGTATCAATTAAGGGCTGAAGGAATATAACATCTAATATACATTATAATGACTTTTCCCTTTTTAAAAGAAAAATTTCTATTTTGACGTTTTTATACTTTAATAATTATAAAAGCATTTACTGTGCATGTGTATGCAAGGTACTGAACTAAAATGTTTGGTCATCACACTCTACTTGACGTAATAGGACATACAAATGACCATTAGGTTAGATCCATTTCTAGTATGTCAGATTACAAAGCTTTGTTGAGCTGCCATAGTAAAGTGATGCTCTGTATCTTAGGCTTGTATTTAATAAGAGTCGAAGGATGAAAATATGCTATTATTAGATAATCTGTAATTTAATCTTTTGTTTTGAATATACCTATTTTGTGGTTGATTTTTTTTTTTTAAAGATTTATTTATTTATTTGTGCATACAGAACTAGGGTACAGGCCAGAGGCTCAGGGGCGGGGAGAGGCTTCACCCGAGACAGAGGTGAGAGGCTTCACCAGAGACAGAGTGGGGAGCAGAACAGGCAGATCTATGAAGTACACTGCTGAGGGAAGCAGCGAGCGGCCCAGGAGAGGTCTGGCTCGCCATGTGGTCTCCTCCGGGGCAGGCGGCAGGCGGCAGGTGGGAATCGAACTCATGCGGAAGTGGCTTCAGACTCTCAGTGCTGTGCTTTAACATGCTGCGCCACCAGGGAGGGCCATGGTTGATTTTTTTAAGCAATTCAAAAAGTGAAAAATTCCATGATGTTACATTTATTTAAAAGCATTTTTTTTTTCTTTTTGCCACAAAGGCGCCTGTTTTGTGTGCTTGTTATTCCCCAGTTACTTTTGCTCACTTAAAACTTGTATCAGTGCAGATTTATCTAGGTATTTACTTTAGCCTTTCAAGGCTGTACAGTAGTCCAGTGTAAGGATTTACCATACATAATTGGCTGTAGTCTTAACTTTTCAGATATGAGTTTGCATTGTCATTTAACCTTGTATAAAACTCTATGGAGACATGTTCAATCATATTTTTTAATGCAGTGTATAGATATAGAGCAAATATGGGTAATACCACAATGTTGGTTCTGAAGTGGAAAATGTGTTTATTAACATTCAGACTCCCTTCATACAGGACATATAAAAATTCTTAGCATTTTGATTATACATAAGTCTGTTTTCTACATAGTTACAATAATATTATATAGTTTAATTTTTCATAATACATTGTTTAAATACATCATAAGTCCTGTTAAATGTAAGCACTTATTTTCAGATCCAATACTCAAACCATTTTTCTCTGTACATACTTTAGCAGGGTTAATTAACATTAGATGATCTTTATTAAGAGGTATATGATCTGAGTATTAACGTATGCTGTTTGGTATTTTTATATACAGCATTTTCTTTTTTGCTTTGATCACAACACAAAACCCTTAAAATATACTGAAATTCAGTAAGTAAAGTCCAGAGACATTATTTTAACTTATGAATCAAATTCATATATAACACTATTAAAAACCTTAAAAAAACAAAAACTGCTGAAATCTATACTAGTACAGACTGTTCCTACAGGGTAAGACTACTGGGGATAAAAGGAAAAGGTTTCTTGGTGGTACTGATAGGAGGAAAAATGCTAACTTAGCCTTGTTCCTCTCACTAATGACAACAAGTTGGAGTTGGAGAAAAACCAGAACAAACATTCCAGCTCACCAACAGCTGAGTAACTTTATGGAGATGGAAGTTGGCTTAGCTCATGCTAGGTGACCACAGGACTGACCTTGAGTGTGAAACAGGAGACATTTGCATACTGTGATCTAGGTCTTAACTATAAGCTATGCTGAGGAATATTTTTATGTTTTGGCTATATTTCATTCCATAAGAGTTGGTTTGATGCTTGTGTTACAGCACCAGTCTATTATTAGTTATTAGTGAAATGAAGTACAGTCCTGCAGATACATACCAGATTCAAAAAACAAAAACCCTATGATTAAACTTTAGAATACTGAAATACAATTATTTCTACAGGAATCTCTGAAGGGAGCAAAAAAGTCAAACCATTATATACCTAAATAAAACATTTTAAAGAAAACCAAATCACCCTAAAGGTCAAACAGTATTTGCTATGTTGTAATCCCGTTGACCATTAGGCTGCAATTGGACCACAATACTATGTTCATTAACTTCATTTTCTGCATCACTACTGTAACTATCTTCATTGTCATCTTCCTCATAGTCTGAAGATTCTGTCATGTTCTGCTGTGATCGAGATTCCGCCAAAGCCCCAAATGACTGGGTGCTAACAGAAGCCAAAGGTCTAAGTAAAGGGGTGTGTTCTGATACTTCATTTTCTTCTTGACTACTATCTGTGTCAGAGTCTGAATCGCCTTGAGAAGGAACAACTTTTTGCTTGCAGACTGGACAGGTTTTTTTGGTTTTGGTTAGCCAAGGATCTACACACTTGCAATGATAAGCTGTTGAAGCAAAATATAAATCTGTTAGCATACTGTAGTTGAGAACATTTCTTTTTAGTCACTTGTCATATTATAATTCATATATACCATGTAGGAATAAGAGGATAGTTTATAAATTTTTATAAATATACTTCCATGTTTAATGAGACCACTAGTTAGTACAAGCCTTGGTTTAAGTGTACTGTTTTCTGTTTCCTCCAATATTGGGCCTAAATATAAGTTACTGTACATAAATTTAAAATAGTATGTAACCATACCATGGGAACAGGGGAGGATTCTGAGCTTGTCTCCATCTTCATATTCATCCAGACAAATGGCACATACATCATACTCATCTCCTATGATAAAACAGGTAAGTAAAATTAATTAAAAGATGTAGGAAAATCTCAAAATTTCTCATTAGGTCTTCATAGTTACTTTAAATGTTTCAATTTAAATGATGTCTTTTAAGCAGTGAGCTGCTTTAATCAGGAACTTTAAATTTTAAGTAAACTTTTACAGAAAATAAGAAAACTAAATATATAGGGGCCTCCATGGTGGCCTAGAGGTTAAGTCTCAGGGCTATCATTTCAACTGTCCATCACAATGGCCCAGACAGGGAGCTAGCTGACATACCTCACTGGCTGTTCCCTTTAGCAGTCTATTTCAGTAAGGCCACTTGCTCTGCTCTCCACTGTCTTTAATAAATCATCTCATCCACTGGACATCTGCCCTGTACTTGTGTACATCTTTGTGCACAAGTAAATATAAACATTTAAAAAATAAAAATGGATATAAATTTGCTTAATCATTACCTTTGAAAAAGATTTTTACAAAAAGAACTATAATTCCATTAGAGTTTTATGTAACTATAAATATTAGCCATGGGGAACTTATACCAAAACCAGAATTTCACAATTACAATAAAATGCAAAGTCTTAAATATTAACGACTAGGAGTACTTTAAGGTTCTGTGGAGCTTGGCAAGTCACTTAGCCCTTGACATCCAGTTCTTTTATCTGTAAAAAGATTGTATATATCTCTGAGGGTTTTCAGGATAAAATGAGATAATGTGAAAGGGTCATTTATACATAGGATTCATTAAATGGTGTGTGTTCAAGTTCATTCAAGTTCATTCAAATCCAGTAAGGTTTTCAAAGAAATTGGCATTCTTATATATAACTTTCTTTTTAGGTGGGGTCAATACTGTCTTAGGGGTACCACTGGGTTAGTGTTGTTCATCAACTCTGTATGTTAGGTAGATCTATGGTATGTACAAAAGTCCCAAGTAACACAATTCATTTTCTGTCCCTCACACAAGAATGTTAGAAAGCATGTAAGGAAAAAAAGCCATCATCTGTAAAGAGAACCTAAACATGACACACAAAGGAAATGATCATTTCATCAAACACTTTAATATAATTCAATATGCATATTCAGGGTCTTAAATGGACTATCCTAGTGAAAATCACAAATTTTGTTCATTATCTTCAGTTTGGTTACTATAGCATTGTGTATGTATAGAATCAAATACATTCTATAAAAAAATACAAGGTTCTGTTTACAAACGTGTGAAGTATGACTGATTATGTAGACCTCTATAAGAGTAAGAGTCCAATACATAACTGTACACTTTTTTATGGAACTAGTTAAATGAGACTATTTGCAATACACAAATAACTGATTTCCCATTGAAATAAAACTTTGTTGGATTTTATTACTTTATAAAAATGCCCATTAAAACAGATATAGTTAATATAAATGAACAGGAACAGAGTGATCCAAAGTTGGGCAAAAGCTCTAAACTTTATTTTATTGAAGTAGAGAGGGTGTATTATCCCTATGGGCCCTATGTATTTAGAAGGGTCTTAAATGTACAAGGCATAGGTGGAAATTTGCATCAAGAAGATGTGACATGGATGACTGGTTAGGGAGATCCACCAATACAGGCTTTACATATGAAGGGGAAGGTCACAAGTTGATGTGGCCTCTAGAACATGGAAAAGGAAAGGTAATAGATTCTCCCCTAGAACCTTTTCAGAAGAGAACTCAGCCCTGCCAACATCTTGACTTTTAGCCCATGAGACCTATGCTGGACTTCCACAGAACTGTAAGATAAAGTTCATGGTAAAGTTTACATAAGAATAAGAAATGAATACAAGGTAGTATTTGTTGGATTAGCCTTAAATGTCTGAAACTGTTAATTCAGAGTCACTGGTATCCTAGAACCTTTGAATTGTTCAGAGTGATGGTGTGTGTGTGTGTGTGTATGCATGCACCATATAATCTAGCCATAGCACTTAATTTTGAAGTTGACAGGTCAGGATTCGAAGGTGTACTATGATCATGCACCAGACTGGAGCCTACATTCTGAAAGGTTCTGAGAATTATCAAGGTGTTGGACTTGTCATGAAATACAAAGCATGTGTTAGAAAATATGGGTGTCTCATCCTGGTTATTTAGTCTTATACAAGATACTTATCTCTTACATTTCTGCTTTCTCAAAGGCAAACAAACATTCACATGCCTGTGGTCTAAGATTATTGAGCACTAAGAAAGGTAATACAAGTACAGTACATTATATAGTAAATGGCACATATGGTGCCTTTAATCAATCTCTGTATGATAAAAATCTCCATATGGCCTAACAGGCATACTAGCATATGAAATCGAGTACTGAAACTGGCTGAGAAGCTGCCAGTTTCTGTCCCACCAGATGAACTGTATGTTTACAGAAGAAGTTAATGGCAATGGTCATTGAACCTTTTTGTTGTACTTAAGTAAATCTGTAATTATGTAATATGTAAAAAATATGTGAATATGTAATTCAATTAAATTGTTAAAAATTTAATTTAGGCCCTACCTGGTGGCGCAGCGGGTTAAAGCACAGCACTGAGAAAGCCGCTTCCTCATGAGTTCGACTCCCACCTGCCCCGGAGGTGACCACATGGCGTGGCAGACCTCTCCTGACCCGCCCACTGCTCCCCTCAGCAGTGTACTTTGTTGATCTACCTGTTCTGTTCCCCGCTCTGTCTCTGCCTCTCACCACCCCTGAGCCTCTGGCCTGTACCCCAGTTATGTATGTACAAATAAAATAAAATCTTTAAAAAAAAATTTAATTTAGATATTCAGAAACGCTTGAAATGTAAGTCTCAAAAACTCAAGTTTAACTTGAATGCAAGGTTAATTCTCCAGAAATCTAAGATTGTACAAACATTTTTAATAAAATGAATGAAAGCAGAATTCTACTTTTGACCCATTAGAATACCTAAAGCTAAAACAAAATAAGTAGAAAATAAACCACGTACAATGACAACTTGGAAATTTAATGAATTTAATGCAGTCTTCAAGACTGCAACCCAACATTAAACAGTTTTTAGGTTTATATTTTTACCTTGAAGACAAAGATAAGACATTTATGCATGATTTAAAATTTTAACAAATTTTAGAAATAACCAGTATGTCTACAATTCAGTTAGCATAATAGGATTATATAAGTGCTAATAAATGTTAGTTTTGTTACTGTCAACTCTATGCTACAAGTTTTGTTGCTTAGTATAAGACAGTGATTCTCAAGGGATGAATGTGCCCTGTAGGACATTAGATATCTGAAGACATTTTGGTTTTTACTACTTGACAGTGCTGTTAGGCAAAGGATGTGGGTTAATAGCCTACAAAACAGTTGTATAACCCCCATCAAACAAAGAATTATTCTAGAATGTCAACAGTGCTGAAGGTATAAAACACCTCTAGGCCTTATTAAAACAAAGATTTTGCTAATTTACTAGTGGATAGGAATGCAGAAATTGCAAAAGGAATAAGATTTATACTTATTGTATGAAACATTGCTTCTATCTGGACTATTTCTGGCCTTAGTGTTATTTGCATAATGTGAAAAAAATAATGTTTCATCAATCTGTGAATGTTAAAATTATAGCTCAACAGATCTTGCATTTCCCCCCACAAAACCTATTCCTCTTGAGTTTTCCTCCCCAAATCTTAAACGACAAAGTATAGCAAAAGCATTGAACCATCAGAATATGAATCAAACAAGGACTTAAGTCACTGCAGTGACTTGAGCTTGTCATATGCCCTTCCTTGATGCCTCTTTCCCCTTAGAGTGTACATTCAATCTGGCAATAAGTCCTACAACTTTTATCTGTAAAACATTCTAGAACTGCTGATTCTTCTCTTTTCCTCAAACTGCCTGGTCCAATAGTCTGGATTACTGTAAGAACTTCTGTAGTCATCTGCCTCAGGTTTTTTCTCCCTAAGCTGACTATTTAAAGAAAAGGTCAATCATAATATGTTAATTTAATTTTAGTGGATTCCATCTCACTCAGAATAAAATTTGAGTTCTTTATTCATGATGTTCACGTAACTATATATAACCTGACCCCTGCTGCCTGTTCCCATCTCATCTCACTTCACTCAGTCCCCTTCAGTTATGCTTCAAACACAATGGATGTATGTCACTCTTTGACTAAAATGTAAATTAAGTTGGGGACCTTCATTTAGCCATGTTATGACAACGAAAGAATTTGGTCATAAAATTAGGAATAGAGGAATCACCATTTCTAGAGATGGCTCAAAAAAATGAGCCAGTATGGAACAATCTAGTAATACTGCATACAAATTGATAACTAGCAGTATTGGTCAGTTCACAAACTAGTCTAGGCCATAAATCAACCAAATAAAAGAGGGGAAGCAGTTAAGGCTAATACAGATTTCATGGAAAATGATTTAACCTCATTTTAGATAATCTGCCCAGGGAAGATAGACCATGGGATTCATGAATTTCAGGAAAGATTATTCTTGTAGAGAAAATATCTTGTCACATTACCAGTAAAAAACAGCCAATTAAAAAATCTTATCTTCTCTCTTCTATACAAGGTCAAGGTCAAATAGTATAAAATATTTTTAAAGCCATGTTTGCTTGAGAATCCTTTTTGGTTATTTTTAAGCTCTGATAAAGGAAATAATGCATACATTTACGGTTAAACTGAAAGCAGTCAAATGTATTTATAAAAATTAAACATGCACTGATCGATAAAAAATATAACAAGTATTGGTCCACTTTTATATAATTGTTATAAAATGCTGTATTGCTGTTTTCCAATCTGAAATAAAATCTTTTTCTTCCTATGCAAATTCTCTTGGAAGTCTAAATGAGGAAGCTATAAAACAAAAATGCCTGGTAACTTAAAATTCAAACACAAAACCCATTTATCTCATTTAAATCTCAGAGATCTGGCTCCTTCACACAAGGGAGAAAGCTCTCTCAAAGACCACCTTGCATGCTTAGAAGAGGGGCTGTTGAAAATGAAAACACGGATTTTTCATCTGTTGTGAAACAGTA